TGTTCTAGTTTTGATACCCTCAAACACCAAGTTAGGCATAGGCTACCTAATTTCAAAATAGGCCATCATCACTGTCAATCGTGAATGATGATTCTTCACATTTTACCGGTCCAAACTACATCTCCATGACAATCATTTGATTGATCTCAATCAGTTTCATGGGAATATGCATTTAGATCTTCTCGAATTAGAGCAGATGGTGTTAAAAAACTATTAGACTTCTTCTATTTTGTTTCAATCAAAGCATATATCCTGCCTATTGGCTCGCTCTGTTGAGTTTTGGCGCATTATACATTTTTGTTTGACTGACCAGTCTAAAATCTCATTAGAAATGAGTAGGTGTTTTGGTGTAACAGTAACGCTATAGGCCTACTATGCTATGGTATGATATTCGGTAATGTTATGTAAAATGCAAATGAATCATTATGTGATCTTGCGAGACATTGATTTAGCTTTGATCTAACTTTACTAAACTAGCACCATTGTGAGAAGTGATAATCTTCTATTTGTAATAATAATAATGTGATGAGTATGACTATAAGGTGTAGGCAACAGATCTTGATGAGATGTAGTTTTAAGCGATTGGAGTGCCCTTTGTGGTGCTGAAAGGACAGCGCCAGGATCGCGCAATGATGTTAAAGAAGTTGAACCAACTTGTAGTGATGAAGGATAGCACCAATCCGGTTTTAGACCTGGACATTGCATCTTTCAGCTGCTACGCTTGTTTTAGATGATGTGTTAAATTGCTTAGATCATAAAAATCATTGTGCTGCCTTATTTATAGACCTTTCCAAGGCCTTTAACACTGTTGACCATCACACTCTCATTCAAAGGTTGACTGAAATAGGCCTGGATTAGGCTTCTTGCAAGTGGTTTGAGAATTATATGTCAGACAGGACACAATGTGTGTTTTTTGATGGTGTTTAGTGTATGTTCCTCGATATTACGAAAGGTGTACCACAGGGGTCGGTATTGGGACCTGTTCTCTTGACTATTTATATAAATAATATTGGTCTATCTGTTAAAACTCGTAATATTCATCTGTATGCAGACGATACTGTTATGTATGCCATTGCACCAACTGTAGACCAGGCGTTGTTAGAGCTGCAAACTGACTTTGTTGCTTTACAAAATGCCCTGGTTGGTTTAAAACGTGTACTTAATCTGGACAAGACTAAATATATGTTGTTCTCATTCTCACAAAAAAAATTCAGATGGACTACATATTTATTCATTGAATGGTTCTCCCATCGATCGGGTTCCCGCCTATAAATATCTGGGCTTTTGGATTGACAAGGATTTAACGTTCAAAAAACATATTGATGAGCTAGTTAAAAAGACCAGATTCTAAGTGGGCTTCTTTTTTACAAATAGAGCTTGCCTCTGCCTAAACAGCAGGAAGCAGATTGTACAGTCAACTTTCCTGCCAGTTCTTGACTATGGTGACACCATTTACCAGAATGCAGCAGCCACTACTCTTAAACCTTTGGATGCCGTCTACTATAGAGCCCTTCGTTTTATCACAGGTGACAGTTTTAATACTCATCACTACATCCTGTATCAAAAGGTTGGCTGGTCCTCATTAAAGTCCAGTAGATCACTTCATTACTACCTTTTTATTTACAAAGCTCTACTACACAAGCTTCCCACTTACCTAACTTTGTTGTTGAAGTATTAAAAAATGAGTTATCAAACCCGTTCACAGGGTTGGTTAACTCTTGAGGTTCCTCGGGTCTCCACCAAATGAGGTAAATCCGCTTTCAGTTTTAATGCGCCTCACTGCTGGAACAATTTGCAGAACTCATTACAATGACATGTTCTGGTGCTGCTCGGGCAGTTTAGGGTGTTAATTGAGGACCTAGTAGCTGAGGGCTGGAAATGTTTTTCATAAATGTTGTGTTTTGTATTGATTGCTGTTTAGTTTTACATTGTATTGGTTGTTGTATTGTTGTGATCAGGGCACTCTTGGGAATGAGACCATGGTCTCAATGGGTTTTCCCTCAATAAATAAAGAATAATAAGGACAGTGCTGCCTCTCGGCCTGTTCAGGAACAAACAACAATAATTTGCAGTAGGCCTACGACTACATGTTCGATCTATGTGTAGGCTATAGCCTAATGTAAATAAAATTACATATAGCTTAACATCATTGCACTGTTTGTGAGGAGAGCTTTATTGTGAGTAGGCATTTCATTGTATTGCGTAGTTTACACACTGTATCATAAATCAACTTTGATTAGCTTGATGGTTACAATATACCCTATTACAAAATGAAAGAAAACAGAGAGGTGAACTAACAATTCCTAGGATTTATTTGCATAGATTCTACATGCTATCAAATCAATTGACCAAGTAGTGAACATAAATCATTACTATGTAGAACTTCAGGAAATCATTTTTAAAACAGCCATAAAATCAAGCTTTTGTTGTGGTGTATTCATGCATCTCAATAAACTCTAACCTAAATGCATTATTACCTCCAACTTGGCCCAATTCACATTTCCAATTGCCCACCCTGACATACCAAGCGAGAACAGGCCTTGCGTCTCAACCAATAGCCAATGTATTTGAAATATCCCAAGCAGGGCTACAGCAACTTCCATAAAAGGTCAGACTCCTTGGGCTTTGCGGTGGGCACTCTGGTTTGGGTGTCCTCGGCAGAACGGTGTCGCCATAACCAAGTGGTCACATATCGTTCTGGGTTCCACTTCGCAAGAGGGGTCTGTGGAGTTTTATGAACATCAAGGCAGACACACTGTGAATGTAGATTTTTTTTCAATGTCCTGATTGGCCAAAGTGGTCAAGTCTCCCACGGGCCGCCGCAGTGCACACACGTAGCCTATAGTTCTTCATCATTCTCGCCACCACCAGAGAGAAGACAGGGAAGAATACACATTTAATTGGTTTGTCATTCTATCGTTTTTCATGGAATTTGTGTGGTAATTAATTTTCCAGAAATAGTTTTACTAGCTCTGTTTATTCTCAAATTGAAAGAAGTGAGGGCCTGCCGCTCCTCCATCCTACGGCAGCACTACACCCCTGACGCCCATACTTACAAACACACGCACATACACACTCACACACCAATGTTGCTGTCCCATGTATGTAGAGACATTAAACACTGGACACTTCCCGTTTCTTTTATACTGTTTTTCACACTGTGTATTCATATACTGGATTCTTGACATAGCTCACTGTAATATATCTACTGCTGTACATATCATACTGTACAGATATACTTACTATACATTTTGGTGTATATATGCATATATTGCATTTGGATTACTGATACAGTGTTATTTGGGTTGTTTATTGGATTCGTTCTGACATTCTTCAATTCTTGTTCTAGTTTTGGATTATTTATTATTTGTGTACTTGTTAGGAGCTATTAGCACAAGCATTTTGCTGCACCCACTATGACATCTTCTAAACTGTGTACGCAACCAATAATTCAATTAATTCAGACTTTTAGTTGTCAGCATCGTCCATTGTCACCGCTTTCACTTGCTTCCCTAAAGCCCCTCTACGCCCCTATCCCTCACTTCCATGACCACCTCCCCATCTCTGGACTCTAAAGCACAAAAGCCATTATCTCCTGTTGTCCCTTTTATTTAGACTAGAAAAATACCTGCTCAGGTCCTTCTGTAATTCTTCAAAAACAACACCCAGCATGAGATACACTGTGTATTCTAAAACCTATCATCCCCAGAGGCATTTATCCTCTGTAATGCTGTTATGCTATGAAAAATAAATGAGGCCAACAGACAATTCAAAACACATAGTCTGTTTTCGAGCTCTTGATGGAATATTTGGGAGGAGTCCCATAGCGGCAAAATGCCAGATCTTGAGAGGGAAGACAAGTCCCTTACAAATCAAATTGCTTTAATCCGTAAACTTGGCATCTGCTTCTGTTGTCTCGGGAGGACAAGGAGCGGAGGGTCTGTGAGCTCTGATTATGAATGGCAATGAAAACCAAACTAGTCACTGAGGATTCACATGATCTCCAATAGGCAGACAGGCTGTAAGGGCTGTACATGTACTGTCATAACGGCTGATTGCCTTTTCTTTTCTTTCCCCGAGAATCAATGGTGTTAAGTAGCCTGGTCAAAGTTTCTCATTATTTGATCTCATTCAGTCATTTATGTTCAGATTTTCATTTTTCATGGAAATCATAGACATTTCAGACAGACAGATCAGTCTCACAAATCACAACCTTTTATTTTGCTAGAATTAAAATAATCAAATAAATAAAATTGTATTGTGCTAGTTTATTGCTCTTGTGCTAGATTATGTCTACTATGATGTGGGCAATTTTTGATCCCATTGTTTACAGTGAATGTCTAGGGAGGGATGCTGCCTGTATGTGATGAATGGAACATCAAAAGCTTATCTCTGGGCTGTAAGATATGTTCCTGGGGACATTAACCTGCCACCACAACATAAACATCATCAATGAACATGAGGAATTAAAAGGGAGAAGGGATGGTGGAGGGATGGAGAGAGAGAGGGATGGAGAGAGAGAGGGATGGAGAGAGAGAGGGATGGAGAGAGAGAGAGAAAGAGGAGGCATTGCCAATTTCTCCTTCTATTTATACATTTAGTACTATTAAGGTATGGCTTTGATGATATTGGCTCGTGTGGAGCTATTTGGAGCTATTTCACTAAGTGTTAAGAGAGCAATTTGGAGTGTTTGTGGAAGCATAGCTAGAAGGGATTTTAATAATCTGGATCGGCAAGTGCTATTACCTACTATCAACTTGAAGGTGGGAAAATAGAGGCTTTTTGCTCTAATGCCTTTTATAGTTTCGATATTTTAACCCAGGTCTCTCTTTCCCAGTGGTAAACAAACTATGATTTCACTGCAGAGACTTTAGGTTTAGATGAAGACAGCTGTCAGTTATCAGTGTACATATGCTATATACTGTACTGTTTAAATATTAAGGTTGAGTTATTCTGGTGATATGTGTTTAAATTGTCATATGCTATTGTAGCTCCCTTGTATGTACTTTGGTATAAATCTGCTCTGGTCAGAATGTCTGCAGAAAGATGAAAGTGAAAATGTAAAATCCCAGAGGACTACTCTTCTGCACCACTCTTGTTTACCTGAGGAGAGTGTGCCCTCTCTGTGTTTCCCCCGGTGGCTGCAGCGTGTAGGATGTAGGAGCGGAGGAGGAGGCAGGATGGAGTGCTCCTGGAAGACAGTGCTGTTGCTGGTGTGTGCCTCTCTGGGGGTCCAGTACACAGCCATCCGCACCCTGAGGGACTCCCTTTCTGGGCCCTGCCACGGTGGCGTCTACCACTGCCAGAGTCGACAGCCCAAAGGTAGGACAAAACTCAAGCATGTAGCCACTAATGCACAACAACAAGCGCAAGTGGCTGTACTCTAAATGGCTTAGGGAGCACACATTCCACTGTATCTACTTTGTGTGTCTACTAAGGAGTCCACTATTTCCAGAGCCCACAGCCCAAAGGTAGGGTCAAAACTATGCCAAGCACAAACACAGAAAACAAGCACAAAGTGACTGTGCTTTATATGGCTTAGGGAACACACGTTCTACTGTATGTTGTAGCCTACTTTGTGTGTGTCAACCACTGCCAGAGCAAAGGCATGACTCTGCCAAGCATGTAACCACTAATACAGAACAAAGTGGCTGGACTGTATATATGGCTTAGGGAGCACACATGGGAGCATGCATTCTACTGGATGTACTTTGTGTGTGTGTCTAGTACCACTGTGAGAGCCAACAGCCCAGAGGTAAGGCTCTTTCTGCAAACACTTAACAACACAGAGCAACAAACAGAAGTAGCTATATGTGCTACTGTACAGAAGTAGCTATATGTTCTACTGTATGTATTTTGTTCTCCAGTTAAAGTAGAATTTTCCTTGAAAATTACTATTATATAGCTAGACATAGTAACTTGTACTCTTCTTTGCATGACAATTTCAACTGATGGCCAGCTGTAACTGTAAATGTGACCAGTAGAGGGCATGCATAGACGTTTCTATTTTATAATTGATTGATAATATATTTCCTATAACTCATTATTGAGTACATACATTTAGGGTTTACAAGTTTGATTTTGTCAATGTTTTTCCCACATAAAAAGCCTTATGTGGTATTCATGCGGGAGGAAAGTTTGTTTGTGTGGGGGCATTAGTCAGTGACACTTGAGGAGCACAGGGAGAGAGAAAATGGAAGGCTAATCCTTCACCAAGGGTATTCCCCTTTTCATGGAGGAGAGGATGAGAGAGATGTAATATCTGTGATTCATTTTGATTCATTTGACAATTATCCTCCAATTTATCTTCATTAATCAGCTTTTGCACGTGGGCTGTATGCGCCTTTCGTCAAGCTCGGCTCCGCAGAAAAGTTACGTCCCATTTGCAATCAACTCCTCATCAGCAGTAATTACACATGGTAGCATTCTGCTCTATGGGTAAACATTGGCAGACAAGCATATTACTCATGCATGTTTACCTTCTGGATTATTAAGGAAATTGGCTTGATAGAGTCTTCACTTGGTTTTTCTCAGTCCTCTGTTATGATGAATTAACCGGATTCTATTTTACATTTACACACTTCTTTCATCCCATGTGTCTATGTGTTAACATAGAACATCAGTGTCTGAAAGTGTTCTCCTTAAAGGAATAATTTAACAAATAATCTCCTTAAAGGAAAAATACCAAAACGAGCTTTTGGTATTTTTTTAAATTAGTCCACTTTTGATACAGTCCCAAAAATGTTTTGCATGTCAGCAGTCAAGTTTTCAAGATAAAGGATTTTCAAGAAACAAAGTATATGATGTATTTTGCATCATCATCATGATGTGGCAAGTTACACAAAAATACCAAAGTATAGTTTTTGAGTGGATTATTCCTTTAAGAAGTCAACCAATTAATATTCAAAGTTGTATTCATAAAGTAGTAAAATAAAGAATGATAGTCAACCAAGACCCATAATATTGTACAGAGAATTTTGTTACGTTACAGCCTTATTCTAAAATGGATTAAAGAAATCCTCATCCATCTACATACAATACCCCATAATGACAAAGTGAAAACAGGTTTTTAGACATTTTTGCAAATGTATTACAAATAAAAAATAGAAAATACCCTATTTACATAAGTATTCAGACCGTTTGCTATGGAAATTGAGCTCAGGTGCATCCTTTTTCCATTGATCATCATTGAGATGTTTCTACAACTTGATTGGAGTCCACCTGTGGTAAATTCAATTGATTGGACATGATTTGGAAAGGCACACACCTGTCTATATAAGGTCCCACAGTTGACAGTGCATGTCAGAGCTTAAACCAAGCCATGAGGTCGAAGGAATTGTCCGTAGAGCTCCGAGACAGGATTGTGTCGAGGCACAGCTCTGGGGAAGGGTACCAAAACAATTCTGCAGCATTGAAGGTCCCCAAGAACACAGTGTCCTCCATCATTCTTAAATGGAAGAAGTTTGGAACCACCAAGACTCTTCCTAGAGCTGGCCGCCAGGCCAAACTGAGCAAATCGGGGGAGAAGGGCCTTGGTCAGGGAGGTGACCAAAAACCCGATGGTCACTCTGACAGAGCTCCAGAATTCCTCTGTGGAGATGGGGGAACCTTCCAGAAGGACAACCATCTCTGCAGCCCTCCACCAATCAGGCCTTTATGGTAGAGTGGCCAGATGGAAGCTACTCCTCAGTAAAAGGCACATGACAGCCCGCTTGGAGTTTGCCAAAAGGCACCTAAAGGACTCTCAGACCATCTGATTAAACCAAGATTGAACTCTTTGGCCTGAATGCCAAGCGTCACGTCTGGAGGAAACCTGGCACCATCCCTACGGTGAAGCATGGTGGTGGCAGCAACACGCTGTGGGGATGTTTTTCAGCAGCAGGGAGACTAGTCAGGATCGAGAGAAATATGAACGGAGCAAAGTACAGAGAGTTGCTTGATGAAAACCTGCTCCAAAGCGCTCAGACTGGGGGCGAAGGTTCACCTTCCAACAGGACAATGACCCTAAGCACACAGCCAAGACAACGCAGGGGTGGCTTCGGGACAAGTCTCTGAATGTCCTTGATTGGCCCAGCCAGAGCCCGGATTTGAATCTGGAGAGACCTGAAAAATGGGAGAAACTCCCCAAATACAGGTGTGCTAAGCTTGTAGCGTCATACCTGTCAGTGATGCTGTAGGTGGGTGTAGTGGTGGAATCAAGCGCAGGACACCGAAGTACAGTCCAAAAGACTTTAGTGAAATTCCACAAGGGAAAAATGAACAAACTGGCCCGAAGGCGAAACTCCGCACGTAGGCGGACAAAACAAACGGGCGCACTACACAGGTGCGTAAAACGCTCCAACACAGTGGAGAGATAGCTCAACCGAGCGAATAATGTAAACACGTCCAGTAACGCACGACAGACAATAAAGCAATCACACACAACACTGGACAAACACAACGAGTAACTTATAGGACGCTAATTAACCTAAACGATAACAGGTGTCACAACAAACAGACAAAAGCAAACGAACATAGAAACATGCAACGATGGCAGCTAGAATTCCGGAGACAACGAACGCCGAAGCCTGCCCGAACAAGGAAGAGAGGCAGCCTCGGCCGAAACCGTGACAGTACCCCCCCCTTGACGCGCGGCTCCAGACGTGCGCCGACTCCGGCCTCGGGGACGACCAGGAGGACGCGGAGCAGGGTGCGTCGGGTGCCCACGATGGAATTCCGTCAGGAGAGACGGGTCCAAAATGTCTCTCCTCGGCACCCAGCACCGTTCCTCCGGACCGTACCCCTCCCACTCCACTAGATATTGGAGACCCCCCATCCGACGTCTCGAATCCAAGATGGACCTCACGGAGTACGCCGGTGCCCCCTCGATGTCCAATGGGGGCGGAGGAGTCTCCCTGATCTCACTTTCTTGGAGTGGGCCAGCTACCACCGGCCTGAGAAGAGACACATGGAACGAGGGGTTAATACTTTTATATTCAACAGGTAGTTGTAACTTGTAACACACCTCGTTCAACCTTCTCAGGACTTTAAATGGCCCTACAAACCGCCGACCCAGTTTCCGACAGGGCAGGCGGAGGGGCAGGTTTCTGGTAGAGAGCCAGACTCGATCACCAGGTGCGTACACCGGTCCCTCACTGCGGTGGAGATCGGCGCTCGCCTTATGACGACGGAGGGCCCGCTGCAGCTGGACGTGTGCAGCGTTCCATGTCTCCTCCGAGCGCCGCGCCCACTCATCCACCGCAGGAGCCTCGATCTGGCTCTGCTGCCAAGGTGCCAGAACCGGCTGGTAACCTAACACACATTGAAAAGGGGTTAGGTTAGTGGAGGAGTGGCGTAGGGAATTCTGGGCCATCTCGGCCCAGGGAACGTACCTTGCCCACTCCTCCGGCCGGTCCTGGCAGTATGTTCTAAGAAACCTACCCACATCCTGGTTCACACGTTCCACCTGCCCATTACTCTCCGGGTGGTAACCCGAGGTGAGGCTCACCGAGACCCCCAACCGCTCCATAAAGGCTCTCCAAACCCTGGAGGTAAATTGGGGACCTCGATCAGACACAATATCCTCGGGTACCCCGTAGTGCCGGAACACATGGGTGAATAGTGCTTCGGCAGTTTGCAGGGCAGTAGGAAGGCCCGGCATGGGGAGCAGACGACAGGCCTTAGAAAACCGGTCCACAACGACCAGTATAGTGGTATTTCCCTGTGAAGGAGGAAGGTCAGTAAGGAAATCCACCGAGAGGTGAGACCATGGTCGTTGTGGAACGGGCAGGGGTAGTAACTTACCCCTAGGCAGATGTCTAGGCGCCTTACACTGGGCGCACACCGAGCAGGAGGAAACATAAACCCTCACATCCCTTGCCAACGTGGGCCACCAGTACTTGGCACTAAGACAGTGCACTGTCCGGCCGATACCAGGGTGTCCAGAGGGGGGTGACGTGTGAGCCCAATAGATCAATCGATCCCGAACCTCGAGCGGAACGTACTTCCGACCCTCCGGGCATTGCGGTGGACTAGGGTCGGTGCGTAACGCCCGCTCGAGCTCAGCATCGACCTCCCACACTACCGGTGCCACCAGACACGACTCCGGCAGTATGGGAGTGGGCTCCACGGACCTCTCCTCCGTGTCATACCGCCGAGACAGCGCATCTGCCTTACCGTTCTGTGACCCAGGGATGTACGTGATCTTAAATGTAAACCGGGTCAAAAACATATTCCATCTTGCCTGGCGAGGGTTCAGCCTCCTCGCTGCCCGGATGTACTCCAGGTTACGGTGGTCCGTCAAAATGAGGAAAGGGTGTTGAGCCCCCTCAAGCCAGTGCCTCCACACATTTAGGGCCTGTACCACGGCTAACAGCTCCCTGTCCCCTACGTCATAGTTTCGCTCCGCCGGACTGAGCTTCTTAGAATAAAAAGCACAGGGGCGGAGTTTAGGTGGCGCGCCTGACCGTTGTGAAAGCACGGCTCCTATACCGGCCTCAGACGCGTCCACCTCTACCTGAAATGGCAAAGAGGGATCCGGATGCGCCAGCACCGGGGCCGAGGTAAACAGGTCCTTCAGCCTCCCAAACGCCCTGTCCGCCTCGGCAGACCACTGCAGACGCACCGGACCCCCCTTCAAAAGAGACGTGATGGGAGCTGCCACCTGTCCAAAACCCCGGATAAACCTCCGGTAGTAATTCGCAAACCCCAAAAACTGCTGCACCTCCTTCACAGTGGTTGGTGTTTGCCAATTACGCACGGCTGACACCCGGTCTACCTCCATCTTCACCCCTGACGCAGACAACTGATACCCCAAAAAGGAGACCGACTCCTGGAAAAACAGACACTTCTCTGCCTTAACATACAGGTCGTGCTCCACCAGCCTCCGCAACACTCTGCGCACCAGGGCCACATGCTCGACTCGGGTAGGCGAGTACACGAGAATGTCATCTATGTACACAACCACCCCCTGCCCCTGCATGTCCCTGAAGATCTCATCCACGAATGATTGGAAAACTGACGGAGCGTTCATCAACCCGTATGGCATGACAAGATACTCGTAATGGCCCGAGGTGGTACTAAAGGCTGTCTTCCATTCATCGCCCTCCCTAATGCGCACCAAGTTGTACGCGCTCCTGAGATCTAATCTAGTGAAGAAACGCGCCCCATGCAATGACTCCGTCATGGTCGCAATCAGCGGGAGTGGATAACTGTACTTCACCGTGATCTGATTGAGACCACGGTAATCGATGCACGGGCGTAACCCACCATCCTTTTTCTTCACAAAAAAGAAACTCGAGGACGCAGGGGAAGTGGAAGGCCGTATGTATCCTTGTCTCAGAGATTCGTCTATGTAAGTCTCCATAGCTTTCTTCTCCTCCTGAGACAGAGGATACACATGGCTCCGTGGGAGCGCAGCTCCTGCCTGGAGGTCTATCGCACAATCTCCCTGCCTATGGGGCGGCAACCGCGTCGCCCTCGACTTACTAAACGCAATAGCCAAATCCCCATACTCAGGGGGAACGTGCAATGCGGGCACCTGGTTTGGACTCTCCACCGAGGTAGCCCCTACGGAAACGCCCAAACATCGACCCACACACTGGGCAGACCACTCCATCAGAGCCCTCTCCTGCCATGAAATAGATGGGTTATGGGTACTCAACCAGGGCATGCCCAGCACCACCGGATACGCAGGCGAGTCGATCAGAAATAGCTGAATCATCTCCTGATGACCCCCCTGCGCACACATCCTAAGTGGCGCAGTGACCTCCCTGATCAAGCCCGCACCCAACGGACGGCTATCTAGGGCATGAACGGGGAAAGGGACATCAACAGGGAGACGGGGGATCCCTAAGGCTAAACAAAACTTCTTATCAACAAAATTCCCAGCCGCGCCTGAATCTACCAGCGCCTTATGCTGGGAATGAGGTGCTACCTGTGGGAAACGCACAGGTATACAGAAATGTGCAACAGAGAGCTCTGGGTGAGTGGGGCGCCTACTCACCTGGAAGGACTCCCCAGTGCGGGACCTGTCGTCCTCCCCCCTAGGAGGCCATCCCCAGCACCTAGCCGCGGTGTGTCCTCCCCGACCACAGTTGGTGCAGGAGATGGACCCCCTCGTAAGCCGACCCCTCCTCTCTCTAGCGCCAGCGCCCCCGAGCTCCATGGGGCACGGCTCGGAGGCGCTGGAGGGTGAAATGGACGGACCCCCCTCGGAACGTCCGCGGGTAGCTAGCAGGTTATCCAGCCTGATGGACATGTCGACCAACTGGTCGAACGAGAGGCTGGTGTCCCTACAGGTCAGCTCCCTACGGACGTCCTCGCGTAGACTACATCTGTAGTGATCGCTGAGAGCCCGCTCATTCCACCCTGCATCCGCCGCTAGAGTACGGAATTCTAAGGCGAACTCCTGGGCACTCCTCCTCCCCTGCCGGAGGAAGACCAGACGCTCCCTCGCCGCTTTCCCCTCCGGGGGATGGTCGAACACCGCCCTGAAGCGGCGGGAGAACTCGTCGTAGGTGATGGTGTCCGCGTCGATCCTCCTCCACTCTGCGTTGGCCCATTCCAACGCCTTCCCGGAAAGGCAGGAGATCAGGGCGGACACGCTCTCATGTCCCGAAGGCGCCGGGTGCACGGTGGCCAGGTAAAGCTCCACCTGGAGAAGGAATCCCTGACACCCGGCCGCGGTCCCATCGTAGGCCCTCGGGAGCGAGAGTCGAACTCCTCTGGCTTCCGGAGCGGGAATGGGCTGACTTGCCGATGGTGCTGGCAGAGAGGATGGCGGTGGAGGAGTCCCCCAGCCTCGGATGGTGGTGATCACCTCCTGCAGTGCGGACCCCATCTGCAGGATCTGGTCACTCTGTTCTCGGACCCTGTCCTCCAGCGTCGTCTGGGCTGCTGCGGCTCCTGCTGATTCCATTCTTGAAGGTGTGTGATTTTGTCAGTGATGCTGTAGGTGGGTGTAGTGGTGGAATCAAGCGCAGGACACCGAAGTACAGTCCAAAAGACTTTAGTGAAATTCCACAAGGGAAAAATGAACAAACTGGCCCGAAGGCGAAACTCCGCACGTAGGCGGACAAAACAAACGGGCGCACTACACAGGTGCGTAAAACGCTCCAACACAGTGGAGAGATAGCTCAACCGAGCGAATAATGTAAACACGTCCAGTAACGCACGACAGACAATAAAGCAATCACACACAACACTGGACAAACACAACGAGTAACTTATAGGACGCTAATTAACCTAAACGATAACAGGTGTCACAACAAACAGACAAAAGCAAACGAACATAGAAACATGCAACGATGGCAGCTAGAATTCCGGAGACAACGAACGCCGAAGCCTGCCCGAACAAGGAAGAGAGGCAGCCTCGGCCGAAACTGTGACAATACCCAAGAAGACTCGAGGCTGTAATCGCTGCCAAAGGTGTTTCAACAAAGTTTTTTAAATTGTTTTATTTAACTAGGCAAGTCAGTTAAGAACAAATTCTTATTTACAATGACGGCCTACACCGGCCAAACCCAGACGACGCTGGGCCAATTGTGCGCCGCCCTATGGGACTCCCAATCACGTCCGGTTGTGATACAGCCTGGAATTGAACCAGGGGGTCTGTAGTGACGCCTCAAGCACTGAGACGCAGTTGCCTTAGACCACTGCGCCACTCGGGAGCCCAAGTACTGAGTAAATGGTCTGAATAGTTGTTTAAATGTGATATTTCAGTTTTTGTTTTTTAATACAATTTGCATACATTTCTAAAAACCTGTTTTTGCTTTGTCATTATGGGGTATTGTGTGTAGATTGATGAGAAAAAAAACAATTTAATCAATTTTGGAATAAGGCTGTAACGTAACAAAATGTGGAAAAATGAAATGGTCTGAATACTTTCTGAATGCACTGTATATACTATACTATGTAGATTTTTTAAATACTTAATCAACTGTATCGTATTCTAGACGTAGTTTATGAAATTCTTCACAGTACAATAGGATTATATGTGTATTACATGGGTACAGATCCTCTCCTTGTCCCTTTGTACATCTAGACTCCAGGTGGAGAGCTCTGTGTGACGACAGCATGTTGCCCATGGAGATGTCATCCACGGCCACCCGGCGCCACATCCTCCTGTTCACCACAACGCGCAGCGGCTCCTCCTTCACTGGCCAGCTCTTCAACCAGCACCCTGGCATCTTCTATGTGTTCGAGCCCCTTTACCACGTTCAACAGGCCTTCACCAACTCCAGCAGCAGGCTGCGTCGGGCCCTGGACCGCCGGGCCCTGCTGGGGGCCTACCGGGACCTCCTCCTCAACCTCTACAACTGCGACCTGCGCTTCCTGGAGAACTACATCCGCCCCGAGCCCCAGGACCACATCACTGGGTCCTTCTTCCGCCGGAGCTCCAGCCGAGCACTCTGCTCCCCCCCTGTGTGCCCCGAGGGCAGGGAGGGGGCCTCTGGGGGTCAGCCTGATGAGACCTGGTGCCCCAAGAAGTGCGGTGCGCTGAACCTCACCCTTGCCTCCATGGCATGTCTGTCGCAGGGTCACGTGGCCATCAAGACAGTTCGTGTTCCGGAGGTGGGGGACCTGCGCACCCTGACCGAGGACCCACGGCTTGACCTGAGGATCGTCCACTTGGTGCGCGACCCCAGAGCCATCCTGGCCTCACGGATGATGGCCTTCTCTGAGCAGTTCCGCGCCTGGAAGATCTGGAACGCTACAGGCAGGAAGCCACGCTACGTGGACCTATCGCAGATCACCAGCACCTGTAGGGACATGGTGGAGTCGGCAGAGATGGGGCTGCAGAGGCCGGTGTGGCTGCGTGGACGCTACCTCCTAGTCCGCTACGAGGACCTGGCCCTCAACCCAGTGGAGAAGGCCCGGGAGATATACAAGTTTGTGGGAGTAGAGATGGACGAGAACGTGCGCTCGTGGATCGCACAGAACACCAACAATAGCGTGCCTTCTACGTCTGAGTGGAACTATAAGTTCTCCACCACCAGAGACTCCAAAGCCACAGCGGAGAGCTGGAGGCTAAGACTAGGGTTTGATATAGTAAGGACTTTGCAGACTCTCTGCAATGATACACTCTCTCTTCTAGGCTACAAGGTGGTCCACTCTGTGGCTGATCTCAGAAACATGTCCAATAGTTTGGTGGAGCCCAGGACCTTTCAGACTCTCCTATAACTGTGACCATGCAGTTGCTTGGATGTAATGCTACAAGAGCTCCATAGCGTAACTGATATGTTGTCTGTGTCTTCTCTCGAACACAGGCAGTCCAATTTGGATCTTTTTCCACTAATTGGTCTTTTGACCAATAAGATCAGCTATTTTGCTTATAATTGGGCAAAAGATCAGAATTGGACTGTCTGTGTAAACTTAGCCAATGATACACATGTGTACATCACCAAAGATGATCTATTATATTGACAAGATAGTCGAGTGACCGCTCTAACAATGGAAAATTCATGTTCTCAAAGATGGAAGGCAGGCGGGAGGAGGCAAGATCAGGTAGGACCATTCTAGCCAATAAGAGTGCAGATATGCGTGAGAACAACATGCACAACTCTGATATGAAGTTGTTTTTTTTCAAATGCCACGTGCGTCCACTTATATCAGTGCATTCGTAACAACCTAACCAACCTAACCATAAGCCTCATGTAGCAAATCAGCAATTAAAGTTTTTGTTGACCAAATTCGACTCTGCCCTCTCATTGGCTAGAATGGTCCCACCCGATCTCGCCTTCTCCCGCCTGCCTTCCATCTTTGAGGACATGTATTAACATTGTTAGAGTGGTCACTCGACTATCTTGAAAAGATAATAGATCATCTTTGCCTGTGTAAACGCAGCCTCTTTGACTTCATCCCATTTAATATCTCCAAGCATGTTTTGTTTATGCCCAGTTGTTTAAGATATTTCCGAAAAACTTTCAGTGGAATTAAAATGTATTTAATTTACAATTTGCATGTGGTTTGAAAATTGCACTCAAAAACTGACAGAACTCAACTGCCAGCCCAGTATGTTACATGACAGTACCGAGGAGAATCTCAGGTTTTTGAGTGGTCTTAGATAAAGCTGCTTAATGTACAGTATGTGTATGCGCTGCTTCATTCAAAGATCCTGGCTCTGCTCTTATTTCTTTCTTTCTTTACCCTTATTTATTGACCCTTATTTTATCAGGTAAGTTGACTGTGAACATATTGTATTTTACAGCAACGACCTGGGGAAGCTACAGTGCCTTGCAAAAGTATTCATCCCCCTTGGCGTTTTTCCTATTTTGTTGCATTACAACCTGTAATAAAAAAATAATAATAATTACGGAAAAGTGGTGCGTGCATATGTATTCACCCCTTTGCTATGAAGCCCCTAAATAAGATCTGGTGCAACCAATTACCTTCAGAAGGCACATAATTAGTTAAATAAAGTCCACCTGTGTGCAATCTAAGTGTCTCATGATCTGTCACATGATCTCAGTATATATACACCTGTTCTGAAAGGCCCCAGAGTCTGCAACACCACTAAGCAAGGGGCACCACAAAGCAAGCGGCACCATGAAGACCAAGGAGCTCTCCAAACAGGTCAGGGACAAAGTTGTGGAGAAGTACAGATCAAGGTTGGGTTATAAAAAAATATCAGAAACTTTGAACATCCCACCGAGCACCATTAAATCCAATATAAAAATTTTTAAAAGAATATGGCACCACAACAAGCCTTCCAAGAGAGGGCCGCCTACCAAAACTCACAGACCAGGCAAGGAGGGCATTAATTGGAGAGGCAACAAAGAGACCAAAGATAACCCTGAAGGAGCTGCAAAGCTCCATAGCGGAGATTGGAGTATCTGTCCATAGGACCACTTTAAGCCATACACTCCGCAGAGCTGGAGTTATGCACGCTCAAGTTTGATGTTTTTTTGTCTTATATCTTGTTTGTTTCACAATAAAAAATATTTTGCATTTTCAAAGTGGTAGGCATGTTGTGTAAATCAAATGATACAAACCCTCAAAAAATCCATTTTATTCCAGGTTGTAAGGCAACAAAATAGGAAAAATGCCAAGGGGGGTGAATACTTTCGCAAGCCACTGTACATATACTGAACAAAAATATAAACGCAACATGCAGCAATTTAATTGATTTTATTGAGTTACAGTTCATATGAGGAAATCAGTCAATTGAAATAAATTCATTAGGCCCTAATCTATGGATTTCACATGACTGGGCAGGGGTGCAGCCAATCAGAATGAGTTTTTCCCCACAAAAGGGCATAAATACTCCTCAGTTTCATCAGCTGTCCGGGTGGCTGGTCTCAGACGATCCCGCAGGTGAAGAAGCCAAATGTGGAGGTCCTGGGCTGGCGTGGTTACACGTGATCTGCGGTTGTGAGGACGGTTGGAAGTACTGCCAAATTCTATAAAATTATGTTGGAGGCGGCTTATGGTAGAGAAATTCTATTCAATTCTCTGGCAACAGCTCTGGTGGACATTCCAGCAGTCAGCATGCCTATTGCACGTTCCCTCAAAATTTGAGACATCTGTGGCATTGTGTTGTGTGACAAAACTGCACATTTTAGAGTGGCCTTTTATTGTCCCCAGCACAATTTGCACCTGTGTAATGATCATGCTGTTTAATCAGCTTCTTGATATGCCACACCTGTCAGGTGGATGAATTATCTTGGCAAAGGAGAAATGCTCAATAGGGATGTAAACAAATTTGTGTACAACATTTTTGAGAAATACGCTTTTTGTGCGTATGGAAAATGTATAGGATCTTTTATTTCAGCTCATGAAACACTTTACATGTTGCGTTTATATTTTTGTTCAGTATGCATACTTATGGCCAGATTTATACTTTACCTTAGAATGTTATGTTTTTACTTCTGGAAATATTGTTTCTATGTTATTTTTCCTGGAAATTCAATGTGTCTATGTCCAACATTTTGTATCCATGTTTTATTTCCTAGAATATAACTGCTGATGTTGCACTGGTGCCAGCAATTAGTAAATCTAGCCTCAAGTCAGACTAATGGTGTTACGTTTTCTGAGAATGGTGCTGTTGCCTAGATGCAGGTCATCCATTTACGCTCACCTAAAGGGATGGAGGGGATTATTTGTGAATTTAAAATGATAGTGCTTGCCTGACGAAGCGTCTTTGAAAATGCTCTGAATGCTGCCTAGAAACTTCTTAAAGTAACTGTCCAGTGAAAATCAAACTTTTAAAAATGCATATTCTGTTAACTCATACCCAAATAATGTTGTTGACTCATCCTATACTCGTATTTGTGGCCAAAGCATACATGGAGAAAAAAATACTTCAAAAACCCCACCTCAAACTTGTATCTCAAACAGATTGTTTAAAATCATCATAGAGTGTGATGTCATCTTGAGGAGGATGAGCTGGCCAATCAGCGGCCTACTGCATGAATATTTTTAATGACTGGTATATGTGACCAACTGCCTCGATTTGGTCTTCTGTAGCAAAATTTGAAATGGTGTTTTTTACATTGGCTAAAAGTAGAGATTTAGAGCTAGAAAATTGCATATCATACACTGCAGTTGAGGAACAATGGGAAAGTTATTCTGCTTTGAAAGTTGATAAACATGTAACCCAACTTTTGAGAAAATGGCCCTTGAATGTTTTGGTACACCTACTGGAGAGCTCTTCTTTGTCTACACCCATTCAGCATCGTTCACACCCTCTTAAGCCTTAGTCCCACCCATCTCTTTAAGGATTCACATGTGAGGCCATTTGGTAAACACATGCTATATCAAATAAAATCTAAGTTTATTTGTCACATGCACAGGATACAGAAGGTGTAAATGGTACAGTGATAGTGCTTGCATACTTGCATAGTAGCAATATCAAAAACAGAACGTGTCCAGATAAAAATATTTTATAAATATTTTAGCGTTATTAGACGATGCTTACCTGACACACTTGTCTACATTGATGGGTCATGTGAAAGAAATGCTAAACCACCCCTCACCCACATTTAGATAAGTGGATGGGTCACTGTTGTCTAGACATGTACACATGTTCATGAAATACAATCGATGGCCGTAATCACCCCCAGACACACCTGCTAATTTGATGGGTCATGTAATAATCCGGCCGAAGTGGAGTTTTTTGTTTAGACATGTAGCTAGCTAGCTAAACAATGAACCGGCATAACCCCAACTCATACTACTACCAATACAAACATTGTCATAGCTGTAGTATGAATCTGCAGGTAGCTAAAGCTAACAAACTAGGTTCAATGTTAACTAGCTAACATTAGGCTATAATTAGCAATGCAAAAAGATTTCTGATTTGAATAATATTACTACACTGATCATACACGTAACATCAGCTAGCGAGCCAGCATGCTAACGTTTGCTAGCTAACTAACAGTATGCTTTAACTTGCAATAAAAATGACTTTCTGACACAATTAGAAACTTATATCTGTTAAATGTAGCTAGTCTCTTACCCGTATACATGGATGAAAGCTTCACGGCAGACTGGAACCATTTAACTCCGTTTTGTTTGGCCAGCTTTGTGTCAAGTCACTCCGGTTCACACTGACCGTGGCATGTGCAGAAAGTAGCCCATCACTTTTTCCTACTGGTCTGTCAATAGTGCCTGCTAAATTCAGGGCATCAATGTCGTTGAGAAAAGTAGCAAAACTTTTGTAGTTCTCGATGGTTAACGTTATATCTTTCAAAAACGGCACGGTAGAAAGGACTGTCAACACATACTGAACAGCTCAGGTTATAGACAGAAGCGTGCTACATGGCAGACCAATCCAAACTCGTCTCCCGGCATGTCCACCCCGTACATTATCTCAGCCAATCATGGCTAGTGGGAAGGTTCCTGTCTTTTTCCATGGATAAACCAACTATGCTCGTAATTTAACAATTTTATTTGTATATATGGATGGAATACAAGTTTGTTATTAAGGCACATGAAAGTTCACGTTCCAGAAGGCATTTCTGCCAAAAAATACATTTTGATAAAAAAATACATGTTTATGTTCAAATGCCTCTCCTGTGAAGTAGTGATGTGCGACGTACGCCTAGTTTCCTGAAACAAGTCACATATGCCCACACCATTCTGTTGCTGGGTACGCCCACACCATTCCAACACAGAAAAGCTGCTTTTTAACATACTTAATAAAAAATGTAAGGAAATCTATTTCACTCGGATTGTAATTA